GGGGGGTATAATTACGTTTCAGGGCTTCAGAGTGTTACTGAGATAAATGCAGAATTCCCTTCCAAGGACACTTAAATCGAAAGAAAAGCCTTGATCATCCTGCTCTCTTAAGAATAATAATAGAAGAAAAAATAGGCAAAGACAGACTTAAAATTAAAACGTACTTTTAAGGAAGCCGGGACAGATAGACGACAGGAAAAGACCAGGATTTATAATATTGGTCGCTTTTAAGCACAAGGGGGCTATCCCGAAAAATGCTGTCTTGAGAAAATCAAAATTAAAGTTTTTGCCCCTTTTTCAGTTTCTTTAAAAGACAAGGAGAGTTTTCTCATATAACCAAACAAATAAATACACACCAATGAAACCAAACTTCTCCTATAGGTAGCCTAAGGCAATGCCCACTTTTGGTGTAGGTCAAGATTTCTGGAAACCCCCGAAACCTGGGTTACCCCGCTTGTCCTTAAAAGCGACCCTAATATACACGTACGTGTTAACTGCTCAGACTAAGAGTGAAGACTCCATCAGATGTCACTTTTCAACAGGGCCTATATATAGCAGTGCCTGACACTCATGGCGTTCTTTACTTGTACAGTACGCTATGCTTACACTGCACTAAGCATTCGATGTGTAGGCTACTTGTTGTTTTAGCACCTAAGCAGATAATTAATTAGCAGATTAAAGTAAGTGGCTAACTATGACCACTGATGGTTATTTCAGATCTGGCATTTGAAGAAAAGTTTAAGACTGGTGGAACTTTCCAAGTTTCAACAACCAATTATCATCTTGGGCCGTCTCTGAGGTTTGGTTGTTTGTTTCAAGAAAGAGAAGCACATTAACACAAATAACAGTCATTTCAGCGCTGGGAAGGGAAAGAAATGAAGCAGGATCTACTAGAGGCACTCTCCTATCACCCACCCGCTGAGGCGAGAGAGAACAGCTGACACCATGCTACCACAACATGGGAGTTCACAACATAACTTTTGGGACACTTCAGAACTTCTGTCAGTCTACATAAGCTACAGAAGACAAAAAAAAGACCAAACTTACAGAACAATTGGTGCGATATCTTTACGTGTACACGTATGACAGTTTCATGATAAAATGAGACATATCCATTTATCTGGTTTTGAGAACAAAATGAAGTTTTCTGTTTGTTATCCATTTACTGAATAATTTTAAGCAACTTTGAATATACAGTATTAGTAAATATGATGTAAGGCTCAGTTGATATTTGTTGTATGATGAAATTTCTGTTGGACTCTTATCCTACAAATTGATGAAGTCTCCACATATTTTTAACAAAGAACAACATATCCACATTACATGTACAATAATATGGAAGGGAAAGAACTACTGATAAACTTTCATCGACCACAAGCAAAGTCACATGATGAGGAGAAATAGCTTGATTGGCACAAAAAGGATATGTTTGTCAAAATAGGTCTTCTGCTTTCGCTGCGTTTTGTAAACAAAAGTAGAGGAAAAATCGCATTTTGGGAAAATAGAAGCTGACTTCTTCACCTTTCAAAATCAAAATAACTTCAGTGTCAATTATCAATGTGTTTTCCTTCCTCCTGTGTTTGAATTTCAGTAGTCAAGGAGTTTATTTGAGTACAAATATACAGCCAGTTGTCTATGTTTCTGTAGGGTAGCGAGTTTTAAAAAGAGAAGGACATCAAAACCGTAACAGTCATTAAGAGCAACGCAAAAGCAAAAAAGATAGAAATAATAACAGACAGAAAAAAAATTCAGTAGTGCCCCCCATCCATCCTCTGTCATCACAAACATGAAAAAGACTCAACTTACAAACGTTGACCCCGACCCCTTCCAACTCACTAAGTCAAAGACACGCTCTGTCCAGTTCATCATGCACATCAAACGTGCAACACACGGACAACAGAACAACAGGCAATTCACCACTCTAGAAGAACAAGGTTGTATCTCAGTTACACTTGAGTTCAAAGTTTTCCCACACTACATCTTTCAAATGAAGAACAAAACTCTTAACAATCTTATCTCCAAAAGTAAAGGAATTGGAGTTGTAATTTATACAATGTAGAGGGAGTACAGTGGAAGCCCCCAGACATTCAAAGCACAAAAAATTCTGAGTTAAAACCTTGTTATTGTTATCTGAGGTTGCAAATCAATCACATCACACTTGAAGTCTGAAAAGATAGAGTCTATCAAATGCTGGGCCATCCTGCTCAGTTCCTACATTGTCCCCTCTAGCTTCTCGTGTAACGCTAAAGGGTAGGCCACATTTTCTGTCTTAGGGTTCTGTGTGTCCTACACTGCTAGAGGATGCATGTGAACCACTCATCATTCAAAGTAAAAAAGACTGCAATGAGAACTCAATTATCTAAATTCATCCAAAACCCCTTACCTTTATAGATGGAGCCTCTAAGGCAGTTAGGTCTCCAGCCAGGCATATCTTTCACATTGGCAACCGATCAGTAGACATTACAGTAACACTCTGAAACTTTCAACTGAAAAGGGAAAAATATACATATATATATAAATATATGATATATATATCATTATAAAGACAAGTGAAGGGACGAGGGATCATGTATAAATAGAAAGAACAGTAAGGAAGAACAGTCATTTAATAAAGAGAATAGAAAGGAAGAATGGGGAGAACAGAAGGGAAGAAGTATGATGGAGAGAACAGAAGGGAAGAACAAGTATATGATGGAGAGAACAGAAGGGAAGAAGTATATGATAGAGAGAACAGAAGGGAAGAAGTATATGATGGAGAGAACAGAAGAGAAGAAGGATGAGAGAACAGAAAAGAAGAACATGGAGAGAACATTATAAGGGAAGGACTTTGAAGAATATTATGACGGAGAGAAGAAGAGAGAATACAAATGGTGCAGAGAACAGTTCAGAAGGAAAGAAGGATGATGGAAAGAACAGAAAGAGAGAAGACTTGAACAAGATTGATGGTGAAAACCGAATGGAAGGCATAAATTATAAACCTATCTGTCCCATTAGCAACCGGTCAGTAGACAGGAAACTTTCAACTGAAAAGGGAAGATGATAATATAAAACAGGGTAAAACAGAGAAAACAGAAGGAAAAAGATGGAGAGAAGGGAAGACGGATCATCATGTATAGAGTGGAGAGAATACAGAAGGAAAGAAAAGTATGATCGAGAGAACAACAGGGGAGAATAATATGTCGGAGAGAACAGAAGAGAAAAAGAATAAAATGGGAAAAAACAGATACGTCACATTGAAAGCTGATCAGTAGACATTTAATGAAAGTCATATTTATTAAGGATATTGGATATCCAGCAACTTTTTTAACTGAAAAAGGAAGAAAATACAATGATGGTCTTCTCGTGTCTCTGAAACAAATACATCAGGTAAGTCAATTTTTTTTTCCTTCCAAACCACAGCTGTGGTCAATCTGCCAGTCCTCATTTTTTTAAAAAAGGAGCACTATCTACAAATATTTAAAAAGTGCTGTGCGCTAACTTTTTTATGTCTTTTCTCGTCATTTAAAAAAGAAAGAATTTTTTTCTCTATGGCCTTTAGATTTAGACTAGTAACAATTTTAAAGAAACCATTGAACCCTTAGCGCATTATAACGCTATTAAGATAGAAAGAACAGATGGTGGTAAGAAAAGCAGGCTGTATCAGAGAAAACTGAGGAAAGGATTATGATTGAGAGAACAGAAGGCCTGAGAGAGGAAGAAGGATGAGTGGGAACAGACAGTTAGAAAAGAATGATATAATCATGGAGAAAGCAGAAAAGGAAAGAAAAAAAAATTATATGAATGAAGAGAACTGAAGTTGAAAAAGTCAGATTTTTAAAGAAAGATCAGAGTAGATCACGAGCCAAGGCAAGTCAGGTCCAGAGCCAGAGTAGTAAATTTAAATCTCCCTCTAGATATCACTCAATCACAAAACGGTGATAACACGATCAAAGGCCCCTGGTCATCATCCCCAGTCCTGCCCGTAAGTTTTACTCGGCAAAAAAATAGGAGCAGAGTAGGCCTATAATGATTGGGGATAATCTTCTGTGCTCTGCTATCATTAAAAACGATTGTATGTGTGTTCTTCTATAGATATCTAGATTCTAGTGTGGAAGCAGTACAGTGAGCGTGTGTAGGCCCTATTGTTTATATCTCGGATCTTGAAATGCTCATTCCAGACCCAACAACCTAACAATAGAGATCTAGATTCGGCGCTTTTTCGGTAGTTCCCACCCCGCAATTGTTATATTCTTCGGTTTTGGCCTCAAGAGTAGGGGGGTTTCAGGGGGGTTGCCCCCCTGACCTAATAAAAATATGGTGGGGGGGTTTCAGGGGGGCATGAATTTTACCATAATTTGATGTTTTGCAGTCGTTACGTTTGATATTTTAGCTCGCCGCGAATCAAACGAATCAAACGTAGACAGATCTTGATGTAGAATCTAGATCTTGATCATCTAGGCTCAAATAATAAGGGGGTATCTACAATCTGATCTAACGTGTAACAACTAACACTCACTCAACACACGAACTCTCCTGCCATCCAGTCCAGCATATGCCATGCCAGTGGCTTAGAAATATTTGGAACTTAGAAGACACTTGAACCTAAAAACAATTCAATACCAACGTTACATCACTGAGACTGAAGAATATAGGCTAGGCCTACGTGTGTGCACAAAGGCAGTGCCCGGTATTTTGTCTATGTTCTCAATGTTCTGTACAGGCAGGGAGGAGTGAGTGGGGCGCGAGGAATTAATGGCAGATTCTCGAGGCAGGGGTGGAGAGGAGATGATCTCGAGATCTTTCAGTTCCAGACCACACTCACCGCTCGTGATTACGTAACAAAACAAAGGGCAGAGAGACAGTGATTTCAGTGAGATCACAATAAAAAGCACAAGCCACTGTTTCCATCATTAAGAAACATCACTCTTACCGTCAGACAAAAGATACTCATCCGTGTTCTCAGAACTCCTCCCCCACACACATAACGCACACGCTCAGCTCTAAATTCTCACAACTCACAACGTTACCACCAGTTGCAGTTTGCTTGCAGACAACGACTGGGCTGGCTGGCCTGGGAAGACGGTAGACGAGATATCGTCGCCACGCCGGCCTCCCTTTCAAATACCTGTATTCGACTATCCAATATGCCCAACGAGCCTCTAAAATAGAAATATAATAGATCATATAGGCCTATTATTATGGTTGTTTAAACCTTTGCTGTACCTTATAACTCTTGATAAAATTGATCGGCCCTATTCCTGTGCTGAGAAGACTTTATTTATAGTGATAATTACTACCCTTTGAACGGTGTACCCTTCTGTTTTCTTGATCATTAATGATGATTAATGTCGGCACTCATTTCTCTTCCAGGTGATCTCAGAATAATTTTCCTGGTCTTTCCCTGTGACCCATCAGAGCAGATTATCAAGGTAAGTTATTCTTAGCCTGCGTCTTCCTCTTTCAAACTTTATTCTTCCAGTGAGAAGAAGATGTACCTCGCCTTTTAGATTTTAGATCCTAATGTTTATTCAAGCCGCGTCCTAGAAACTTCTACTCATTGAGCTACTCTGTTTTTCGGTAGCAAATATCGATACTCAAGTAATCGTGTAGTTTTACTTTCGCTTCCATGGTCAGGCCGGCGCGCATCAACGGGTTCTGTGATGGGCTCAGTGCCAGGACCACGCAGACGATTGTGTGAGCACTGGAGCGAGGAGTAAACGGGGCCACACGCTCGCTCAGAGCAGCAATGGAACAGTACCCAGAACCATCAAGACGAGTAAATTATGGGACTGGGCGTTGTTCTTATTTCTTGTACTTGTAGACCCGCCTTTACTTTTCCCCAGCGCGACATTCTTTGCATTTATTTACAGTAGCCTAGGTTACATGATGAAGTAAGCCTACTGCCATCCCACAATTACATCATTAATGAGCTGTTCTTAGCCTTATAAGTTTAGATATCTACCCTGTGCGCAAAATTTTAAGACCTTTCAAGGGTGAAGAAAGTTTAAGTTTAAAGCGTGTTTTGGGTGTGTGTGTGTGTGTGTGTGTGTGTGCGCGCGCGCGTGTGTGTATGCGTGTGTGTGTGTGTGCGTGCGTATGTGTGTGTGTGCGTGTGTGTG